TTCAGTTGTTACCTGGCAAACAGAAGTAGTAGCTTGGTGTCGGTGGCTGCGTTTTGCTGCTGAGGCAGACAGCTACAGAACTTAAAGGAAATCAAATTTAGCCTGCAGTCGAACAGATTTTTCATTCCAGCTTTGTCACAGCATGCAGCAAGGGTATCTTCTCTGACAGTAAACGCATGTTAATTATTGCTCTTTGATTACTTCTGAGTGGGAAGCTTGCCATTAAACTGTTCCAGACAGCCCAAGTTTCAGATGTGCTTTTTTTCTTGTCTCCCCTGAGATAAAAGGCGAGCCCAGAGTCAGAGAAACGCAACTGGCTATTGACATCCTAGCACAGCCCGACAGCTCTTGCTTGGAGCGGTAGAAACTGCAGCGTGCGTGGGAGGGTGGCTCTTAGAGCTGAAGCTGTTTCCAGTGCCTTTTGGCAGTCTCTTGTTTCCTTGTAACCTGAAGAGCTCAGAGAGAAGAGACAAACTTTTCTGGGTGATGCAGAAGGGGGGGATGGGCAGGCATTTGCTCAAGACTCTTAAAATGTTCTCCTGACCTGCTCGGCCTCTGCAGACCTGGTGTTGAAACGACTTTGTCACCTGAAAAGAGATCCCCCTGTGTGACTCCCTGCTATAGTAATCTTCCTTAGCTTTCCCAGGGAGAGAAAGCAAAGCTTTCCCTTGCTGTCATGCAGAGGGCTGTGCCAGCTGGGGGGACTCAGACCAGGGTGGAGGCGGACGAGGAGCCTGGCTTTTCCGTACCAGCACTGGAGAGCATTTAAAGAGGAGAAGTCTCTAGCTTACAGCTTTCTGGCCCCATCTTCTCATTTCACTCTGGTTTTGAACCCTGTGCGGTGTAGGAAGGAAGAGGAGAACAAATCTGGTGCAGCCTCCACCCTGCATTTGGTTTTTGCTAGTGGGGACATGCTCCTTTCCTGGGCTGGGGGTTACATTGGGGTTCAGTGCCTGTTAGCTCCTGGGTGAAGGTAAATCCTTCCCTAGTCTGTATGGATGTTGGCGGGCATGCATTGGACTCTGTTCCCGCAGTTGTGTTGCTCCATGCCTTTTCCCTGAGGAAGCTGCTGCTCTCTTTTATCCCGAGCAAACCAGTTCCATCTCCTGCTCCGTGGCCCTGGCATGCCCAGGGCCAAGCTTCCTCGGCCCAGCAGCAAAAAGGGACACACCAGGCTCAGTTTTGACCCCATTGCTGTGGGGAATGCCACCACGTGTGCTGTGTTGAGTCTCGGAGATGTTCCAAACTGCAGCATCGTTCTCGCCTTGCTAAAAAACCCTTATCGCATGGCAGCTGCCTGCAGCTTGGCTGCTGCCTGCTCACTGTTCCTGATTCTGTAGCCGAGGTCTCTGGCAGACATGGGCTTACAGTTGGGGTTTGGCAGCAAAGTGCCATAACATGCCGGAGGGCAGCGGGTAGCTGCGCCAGAGAGGAAATCCCGCTGTAGGGATGGGGAAAGCAGGGCTCCTCCGAATAAGGGATGCGTTGTTCTTGGCGCCCTGGACTGAGCAGCAAGAGGCTGAATTTGGTGCTTCTAAGCCACCCAGAGAAGCAGCAGATTCTCCCAGGAAGGTGAGGAGGCCATGGATGGCTCCCACAGAGCTCACCGTGCTGGCCATTGCGTTGCATTCCTGGCTGGGTGTAGGTGCGGGTTCACCAGCGGCACAGTCCTGGGGAGAAGCGTATATGTACAATGTTGTATCTTGAGTGATTGTTTAAATAACTGGGAAGTGATGGGGTTGTGCTGGGGAGATCAAGCACCATGAGAGGCTTTGCCTTTTGCAGAGGTTTGCTCCCCGGGGACTTGTGGCCCCCTGCATGGGCGGTGTGTGGCTAAAGCCACAGGCAGGGCACAGAGTCAGGTTTCTTACACACTGAAATGAAAGCAGGAGGTTTGTTTCTGAGGAAGGGTTGTTTAAACAAAGGAAAGCAGGAGCCTGGCTTCTATTTCTGGCTCCTCTCCTGGTGTGACCTTGGGTGCGTCCTGTAACACCAGGGGGTGGAGGGGCAAGCGCGGAGCTCAGCTCCCAGGTGACAACTTGAGCGGGTGCCAAGGTCCCTAGCCGTTGGCCAGGCTGGAAATGGTGGTTTGGTTGCCTTCCCCGTGGCTTGGGCAGCAGGTGCCACCAGCAAAGCCAGCGTCCTCCAGGCTCGGCCTCTTAGAGGTCCCATCATGCTGATGGTTGGGAACAACCTGTCCTGTCCCCCACCATGGGATTCACTGGCAGTCCAAGGCCCTGAATAGCTTTGGGGTGTCACCTTTCCCACAGGAGACCTCTTGGCTGAAGGTCGACATTTGGGCATCTCCAGCTTGGCTGGCGGTACAGCACTTGAGGGGGGTATGCCTGAGCCCCCCATCTTCCCCTCCTGGTTATGCTGCCTTGCTGGCCGGGCACAGCAGTGGCACATATGGCCGGTCCCCTTGCCCGGCCTCCCCGGGATCAGTGTATACCCAGGGGCTAAAGCAGCCCAGAGAGGGACTGTCAGGCACCCATTGGGGCTCTTGCTGCTCCCATGGCTCAGTCCTGGTGCGGGTGTGCCGAGGCGTGTGTTCTCCAGCCCCGTCTATAGTTAAGTTGCTCCCTCTGCCTATTTCTATTTTTTTTTTTTTTTTATAGCTTTTAATTATAGTGACAAACACAGGACCGGAAAGGTTGAAAGTGCTCACGTACCCAATGTGCCTTTGAGGTGTTGGATGCTGGGGCAGGGCATCCCCTTCCCCAGGAACCCTCCTGCCGCCTTCCCCACTTGCTGCCAGGGACCCAACCCCCCCCCCCCCCCCCCCAAGAGCTGCCCCCCTGGCCTCTGTACCTGCCTTGGCTCCTGCCACTGGGTGCTCTGGCCTTGCCGCCCTGGCCGGCCATGAGCCTGGCAGCAAGAACATGTCTTGCTGAGCAGCGCCGGCCAGCCCCGTGGTGTTTGTGTAAGGAATCCAAATGTTGCACAAAGTCCGGGCTTGGCCAGCTGGTCTCTGTTAGGATCTTAAGGCTCGTTTCCCTTTTCTTGAATGGCAGCACTAAGCTCTGGGGAAATTCTTCCTTTTTTTTTTTCCCCAGCCACATGAATGGAGCGCTCCAAATTGTTTGTGAATGGAGGGTGGTGCCCGCTTGGAGACTTTTTTTTTTTAATGAATAACCAGGCCCCATTGTATGGCTGGTGGAAAAACAACCCGCTTCAACAACACGGAGCCTGTTAGGGAGAAACATGCCCGTGATAGGCAGCTGGAGCCCTTCCAAAGCCAGTTCCCCTTCACTTTCCCGTGGCTTGCGGGGCGCCCGGGCTTTGCCGCCGCAGTGCCGGCCCCCCATTAAGGCTAGAAATGCTGAGAGCGGCAAAACTGCACTGAGGGGGGGAAGGAGGAGGGGGATAACCGCCGCAGTGCCGGCCCCCCGTTAAGGCTAGAAATGCTGAGAGCGGCAAAACTGCACTGAGGGGGGGAAGGAGGAGGGGGATAAATCCGGCTTGGGAGCGGGTGGAAGGCGTGTGGGGGGCTGTGCTGGCTCAGCGCTGGGCTTCATGTTTCAAATCCTCCTCGGGGGGTTTTATGCCCTTGGTACCAGCTGTGCCGGGCTGTTGGCGGGGGTGGGGGGTGGTGGCGGTGTGTAGAGAGGCGAATCAGCAGCTCTTAAAGGTTTTGACAAATTAGGGGAGCAGCTAATTACCTGGCAAGCCGTGAACAGTTGTCCTCTCTGCCATAGCCAGGCTGTGTTTAGACTTTGCATGAAGCTAATACTCCACTTCCGATTAGCCTTGGCTCTCCTCTGCAGGCACTATTTAGGTAAAGATCTCTGAGGCGCTTTCCCTTTCCTAGAGTGCCTGCTTTTAGAAATTAATTAGGTTAAGCGTATATAACTTGGTTTAAAATTATATATAGTGAGTGGGCTTGAGGGGGCTGGGAAGGATTTGGGTTTAATGGGACATTTGCCACTTGAACTCATACAATTGTGGGACCCCAGGTCTGGGTCCCCTTGGAGCACTTTGGCTGGGGGAAGGTGGCTACCATTTAGCTGCTTGCCGACTCTCTGGCCAGCTAACTGGGAGCTGGGTATGCCCCTGCGAGGGTGAGTGGGTTGCTGTGTCCTGCTTACAAGGTCTCGGAGCTCCAGGCTGTCGAGCTCCAGGCTGTCAAGCCTCCTCATTCCTCGCCCCACGGCTCAAGGAGGCAGCTGCTGCCTGTGGTGCCTGGGCTTGTCTCCCCTTGCTGAGAGGCTTTTGACCCGGCCCAGGCGTGTGTCTCATCCATGGGTGGTGTTGAGCTGCCTGTTCCCCTCTCACAGCCCTTGCTCTGCCCCCTCTCACACTGTGCCATTCCCCTCTTGGATCCCAGTGGGGAACGATTCCCCCTCTGTGAGTGATGTCCTGGGATGGAGGGACCGTCCCTGGGAGCTCTGCCCTCCCCTGCAGAAGTCAGCCCTGCCACCCTGGCTCAGTCCACTGGCATGTCAGGGTCTGCTGGGGCATCATTCTGCCATGGTTTGGTTGCCTGATGCTGCCGGGGGGGTAATTCGGCACCTGATTCCTGAGCAAAGAGCACCCAAGGGGATGCTCCCCAGGGGGGATGTCCCCCATCACCTTCTCCCACACACATGAGCCTGTATCCTCCTCTTTTTCATTGCAGTGGTCCTGCACGCCCCACCTCCGGCAAAGATCAAGCGGGAGCTGCACAGCCCTTCCTCGGAGCTGTCATCCTGCAGCCACGAGCAGGGTCTCTGTGCCGGCTACGGGGACAAGTGCCTCTACAACTGCTGGTAGGTAGTGGTGGGGCGGCTGCTGGCTGCAGGCCCCTTGGGTCACAGCACAGGGATTCATCTTGCTTGTCAGCCTCTGCTGCGCAGAGGTGTCCTCGTTAGTGTCACTGTCAGCCCCTAGCCCTTCTCCCCTCCACAGTGCCTATGACAGGAAGCCCCCTGCTGGGTTCAAGCCATTAACGCCGCCTGCCACGCCAGTGTCTCCTGCACACCAGGGATCGGCCCTGCCGCCACCAGCCCCAGCTGTGCAGGCAGCTGCCCATGGGGCGGCCACGGCCCCACACCCACTGCAAGAGCAGAGGCAGCAGACCTTCGCCGTGCCGCGGCCGCCTCACCCGCATGTGCACATGCCAAAGATGATGTCTGAAAACGAATACCCTGCAGAGCACAGGTAAGGCTTCCCCACCCAAGTGAGTGCTGGTGTCTTGCAGGTGTTTATCGGGACTTTGGCCGTCTTGAGATGAATCGGTGGCCTCAAGCTGTGGGGAGGGAAGAGGGATGCCTGTCCACTCATCCCCTTGCTGCAGTCACAGACCATGGGCCAGATATTGCTGCCTGGGGACCCATGGGAACCAATGTGGCAAAACTTGCTGCTTCCCACTGGGATCTTGTGGCTCTTTCTCTCCATGAGGCAGCTGCTTGCTAATGGGGACCTGTTCCTCCCAGCACTGGGGACACCGGGCAGACCCTTCACCTCTCCCTCAGGAAAGGCAAGGGTGGCAGAGGCTGCTGCCTGCATCCGTCCCTGCAGTGACGGGCGATGGTGCTGAGTCAGGACTCCCGCTCTCCTGTCCCACCCACTGCAGCTTTCTGCTGTCCAAGCTGAGCCCTGCTGGGCTGGGGAGCTGCGGGCATCCCCATCCTGCCCCTGAGCACCCCTGTGCTGAGGGTTGGTCCTTAGCTCCCCTGTGCACTGCATGGCATCCCCATGATTTTGGGGGCTGTGGAAGGAGAGGCCCTGCTCCCCGCTTCCTCTCCAAGCTGTGGCTTCATCCCACATCACCCCTGCGTCCCCAGAGGCTTTGCTGGTCCGCTCCCTCGCCCCGGGTTTGCTCACACTATCGGTAGGCGGCATGGCGCAGGTCACAGTCAGCTTCCGGCTTTGCTTGTGGCCTCCTGGATGCCCTTTGCTGCGGTGACAGCTGCTGTGTCACTGGCGGCAGGGTGTTCCCTTTGGGCACAGGACTGAACGTGGCAGCCCGGCAAAGGCCATGCAATGGGGCCATGGAAACCCTTGGGACATGCCCGCAGCGGGTGAGCATCCCTCCCCAGTGAAGCAGGGCTCAGCTCCAGGTGACCTTCGAGCTATGCAGGAGGCTGGCCGTGCTCCCTCGGGAAGCGCCGTGCCAGTGTGTGGCTTGGGTTTCACTCAGGAAGGGCAGAGGGACGCGGCTCGGAAATGGAGTAATCCCAGCCCAGCAGCTGGGAGGGCTCTGGTTACAAAGCCAAATGGCGCAAGGCTGGCCCAGAGGAGCCGGGCACAGAGATCGCCTTTCAAGGTGCCGGAGGGCGAGGGGATGCAGCAGCACCCCCTCGAGATGGTCCCTTATCCACCACAGCCAGGAGAGACTGCTGGGGCTTGAGCTGGCGGTGGCGGCACCCTGGAGCTGAAAATAGTGCTCCCTGCCACCGAGTTCAAGGTTTAATCCCAGCCGCACAGGCAGATTAGCAGCCGGCTGGGGCTGTGGGGCTGTGGAGTGGATTTGGCTTTGCGTAAGCACCCGCCTGGGTGCAGCATCCCCCGTGGCTCTGCCCCCCCACCCTCAGGGGAGACTTTACTGGTTTACAGAGATTTTACTGTTGTGCGGTGTCGTTTGTTTGTTTCCCTTTCCCACTCTTACCCAGACATCCCTGCTGCAGCTCAGGGCTGCCATCGTTGTGCAGTGCTTCACAGTGATGGCCCATGTGCTGTCCTGCTCCCCCGCAGGTGTCCCCAGCACTTGGAGGGGGATGGGGCTCCCCAGCACCCTGCTGGGTCCCCACGGGATAAACCCTTGTGGTGGCTCCTGAGGAACCATCCCAGCCCACTGCGGGTGGGACACAACACCACCCAAACCACCCCGGGCTGAGGGCACTGAGCCAGCACGGGGTCCTGGTCTGGGGCAGGAGCTGGCGGCGTGCCTGCAGGGCTGACCCCACCACCCCTTGGTAACACTGCCTCCCTCTCCCCCCAGATTTCAGAGGCAACTGTCAGAGCCCTGCCACCCCTTCCCACCACAGCCTGGGGTCCCGGGGGACAGCCGCCCTGTCTACCACCGGCAGCTGTCAGAGCCCCTTGGCCCTGCTGCCCCCCACCCCCCTCAGGGATTCAAGCAGGAGTACCATGACCCACTCTACGAGCACAGTGGCCCCAGCCTGCCCGGCCCCCCCAGCCATGGCTTCCAGCCCCCCATGGGCATCAAGCAGGAGCCCCGGGACTACTGCATCGACTCAGGTGGGTGCAAGTTGGAGGGGGAGGACAGCCGGGTGCTGGCGCTCAGGGGGGTGCAGGTTACACCAGCAGCACCCAAGGGAGCAGAGTCATCTCTGCCATCTGCAGCTTGCGGGCGGCAGTGTGGTGGGCTCAGGGTAGAGCCTTGGGCAGAGCGTGGCATGTCACCCTGGGGCTGCCTGGTGCCGGTTGCTGTTTCTCCTGCAGTGGTAGATGATCTCTTCCTTTTTTTTTTCCTTTCCCCTCTTTTTCCTCCCTCTCTTTTCTTTTCCAAAGCAGGGGGGATAGAGCAGGCATTCACCAGATGCTGCATGGTGTGGTCTGTGCCATAGCCACAGGCTGGGGTGCCCTCAGCACCCGGTGGGTCCCCCTGCAGCCCTGGCCTGGGGCCAGCTGTGACTTCTGGCTGCTGGACCCCACCAGCATCACGGAAAAATCCTCTAATCTCCTTAGGACCTAAAAATACCCCGACCTCAGGATGGAGGGTGGCACGGCTGAGCAGATGGCAGGGGAGGTGCGGTGATGTCTCCCTTCCTGCAGGGCCCAAATAAAATGGTGAAAACCTGAGCTGACTTAGACCTTGCTCCCAGCACTCATTCCAGTGCCCTTCCTCCCCATAAATCATACTGTTTTTCCCCCAAAGCTGGGTGTGGGGGCTGGGGGTGGGTGCAGTGGCCCAGAGTGCACTGGGGGGAGAGATGCCCTGGCTTGGCCACAGGACATGCTGGGGGGGGGGGGGGGGGAGGGCGCAAGAGGCGTCGGGGGCGCACGGCGG